TGTTAGATGTACTGTCCTCTATATCATATATGTTGTTTATTGTTGAATCGAGAATTAAAAAGAAAACAACAACTTAATATATACCAAAAGAAAAAGGAAAAGAAGATGAGTCACAAGGAGAGAAAGAAAAGAAGATATATATGATGATCCTATGTATACCATAGATCATAACAACAGTAAAAGACAGAATGATGGTTACTGTATTGTGTTGTAATGCATCACTCAAATATTGTTCTCCAATAGCTGTGATATTATTACTTCTGAGATTTAGTGTGATGAGTTTCTAGATGGAAAGATGAAAGTAAATGCACGATATATTGAAAGGGAAAATGGCAATTACTGTGTTATGTCGTAATGCATTAGCAATATGTTGTGCACCAGCATCTTGGATTTTATTAAAGCGGAGATTTAGTGTGGTTAGTGTCTAGATGAAAAAGTGAAGGTAAAGACATGGTATAATCAAAGAGAGAATGACAATTACCGTGTTGTGTCGTAATGCATCACCTAAATGTTGTCCGCCAACATGCCCGATTTGATTAAAATAGAGATTTAATGTAGTTAGTGTCTAGATGAAAAAGTGAAGGTAAAGACACGGTATAATTAAAGAGAGGGACAGAGTGACAATTACTTTATTGTGCTGTAATGCATCAGCCAAATGTTGTACTTCAGTATCTCCGATGTTATTACGTGAGATATCGAGTGTGGTAAGAGTCTAGATGAAAAAGTGGAAATAAAGGTATGTTATAGTTAAAGAGAGAATGACAATTACTGCGTTGTGCTGCAATGCATTACTCATATGTTTTGCTCCAACATCTCCGATTTGATTCTCATGGAGCAGGAGTTTGGTGAGTGTCTATATGAGAAAATGGCGGTAAATAGATGATACAGATGAAGAGAGAATGACACTTACTGTGTTATGTCGTAATCCATTAGCCAAATATTCTGCTCCAACAGGTCCAATAGAATTCTGATTGAGATTTAGTGTGAGGAGTGTCTAGATAAAAAAGTGAAGATAAAGACATGATATATTTAGAAACAGAGTAGCAATTACTGTGTTGTACTGTAATGCAGTACCTAAATGTTGTGCTTCGTGATCTCCAATTTCATTTTCTGAGAGATCTAGTGAGGTCAGTGTCTGAATGAAAAGATGCAGGAAAGATATAATATGAATGAAAAGGCACAATAATTGGTCGCTGTTATCTGCGTTTAGTTCAGTGAAATGAATATTGATACGATTCGGTGTAAGAGCGTATGAATATGAGTCTGAATATTTCTTACTTGAAACGCAAAATATTTAGCTGAGATTGAAAAGAAGGAAAAAACGAAATTTGGTGAGAGATTGATAACTGATGAAATCTTGTGAGTGACAAATAGTTTATTTATGTATATTTTTATTAATGTATAGATCAAAATTAGACTGTGATGATAGAAAAAAGTTTACCCGATATCGATCATAATTGTCTATGATGCTATTGAGGTGTTGACACACATTTCTCATTGAGCATACAATTGTGTAAGCCGTTTGATGATCCAAAATTCGGTAGATAACTTCTACCGGTAATGTAAGAAAGTTGGCAGCAGTTTGGTTTACCATTGTAGATTGTTGATGAAATATATGCTGTGTATAGGTTTATATGTTGATTGTATAATATGGTGTTGTTTTTTTCTTCCCATTCAATAAATACATGTGCGTCATGCATCATATATTTTATATGGGGTCGTAATTACTAGTTAAAAGAAAAAAATGAAAAATAAATAGGTCACTAAATCAATGACTGAATGATAATAGGAATAATGCAAATAATGTTTTTATTATGGTTATTTTAGGAATACAAAATGATATATAATAGGCATACCTATTTAAAAAAAAATAAAAAGCTGAAAATTATTTATATTTGAGTAAAATCAAAAACAGACAATACGAGTATCAAAACAATAGCAATGAAACTTTTCTTTTCATGTAGGCTGATAGTAAAAACAATACTCTGTTTTCCTACGGTATTTGATTATTCTTAAACTAATGAAATAATAATAAAATTTCGACTGAGCTGTTTGTTGGAATAGAAGATGGTATACGCTATCATCAGATATGATATTTCGCAAATAATTTTTGAAATATGGAATATATAGAAAGCAGTAATTATCATCGATGTAAATGACAAATAAAGATACAACATGTTATGAATAGCAGTACGTTTTTGTAAACATTATTCCTCAAGTCATTTTTATTTTGTTTTCTAATTATTGAAAAAAGAATATTTTATTTTTTACTAACAAAAAAGTTAAAAAATGATTGTTTGCTACAGAAATTGTTAGAAAACTATCTTTGGAATTTGACTCCATTACAATTAGTTAGGTGTGGGTGTGGCTGACTGATTAATATAGCACCCACGCCCATAGTTTGTTTATATCTCCCTTGTCCACACATATACTCTCAAGATGGTTATTTAATTGAAAAAAGCATTATATTTTAAAAACATCAAGACTTTAACCTGAATTAATAGTTACAATCATTTTATTAGATAAAATTAATTTAAATATCTTGTGTAAATTGAAAGATAATAACGACCAAACTTATAAATCAACTATCTCTTTTGAAAATATTAAATAATTTTGAAAATATTTCATTCGATAGTTATTTAGAATTTCATCTATATCTAAATATTCAATAACTTTACTAAGTTGTGTTTCACTAGAAGAAAATGTATCATATCTAACTAGATGAAGAGTATATAATAATAATGTATCTAAACTTTTACAATTTTTCAATATTTTCATAATAATATTTGCATATAATTGTGATTTATCCAAATTATTAAACAGATTAATATTTATATATTTAACATTACAAAAATGAACATAATTTATTTCTGCTAATTTTTCCATTTCGGGATAATTATTTATATACAATTTTTGAATTTTACTATTTAATATTTTAGTGAATTCGCTTTTTGGCTCAGATAAAATCAAATGGTTTAAATTTGGTAATATATTCATTAATAAATCCATTTCCATTTCAATATGAGAATACGCAAAATGAAAAGTTGTGACACTATTCAAATGATGTCTTTCTGTTTCATTTCGGAGATATTTAAAGTAAGAGCCGAAACTAATTGTACTTAATTTAGGCATTTGAATTTTGAGAGTTTCTATTAAACTCAAATAATTATTACTGGTTCTACATAATTGAGCAGATTTAACATTATGCCATATTCGATGGTTATTTATTAAAATATCACAGTTGTTTGTTTTAACATTATCGAAACCTATAGAAAATTCATAAAGATCATCAAAATAAAATGGTAATGTGTAAAAATATGTTCCATGCATTCCAAATGATAAATTCTTATCAAACCAATATTGAGTTTTAAACTGTGATAAAACATTCTCAATATCAATTGGTTCTTTATATAGCCTAGCATAAAGATGAAATTGTTTAAGTTCTATCATTGATTCTAATAATTGTCGTAGTTTAATGCTATTGAATGGAAATCTTTCTGTAGTTCTGATAGATAAATTAATTAAATTGAGTGATAAACAAATTAATGATGATGAAAATATTTTTATGGCACTTGTCAATTGATCAAAATCGGTTCCAGTATATTCATATCCTATAATCGTTGGCCCTGTGTGGATTAATGTCCAATGAAATTGTTTTAATTTTAAATTAATTGTATTGATCAGTTGTTCAGATGTATACGGTGGTTTTGATTGAAAATTTAAATATCTTAAATTAGGTGTGTTTTCGATCAATTTAAATACATCTCCAAAATTGAATAATACTAATGTTAATGAATGTAAATTAAAATTATGTGTTATGCCATCAATAGGTATTATTGAAAAAGGCAGTAATAATAATGAACTTTGAAATATTTTTAATAAACTTTTATTATTAAATACTTTATTTAATAAATCATTTTGATTCAATGGAAAATCATAATACGTAATGTCCAAGAATATTTTTTCTTGTTTAATTTTAAATGAATGTAGATTAGTAAATTGTTCACTGTCAATTATTGCATTTAATTCTTCATTTGGAAAGCCATGTGATGAAGAAATAATTATGGATTTCAAATTTGAAAAATATGATAATGAAAATCTTAAATTAATCGTACTAATATATAAACATTCGATTTTTGAACCAATAATTGAGAGAATAGTTTTCCAAAAATTTATATTGGTTGTTGGTAATTCGAAATATTTGAAATAGGATCGATTTTTTAATAATAAAGTATTTAATCGTTGATTAAAATCAAAGAATGTATAGATAATATCATTAGTTGATAGATAATCAAATATATGAAGAATAATTTCAGTAGGAAAATGATCAAACCATGTTGTTGATTCAATGTTTCTGCTGGACATGTTAAAATTTATTTATCGAAGGAGAATGACAATATTCTCTTTTTTTAGTATGTAGAATGTTTTGTTGATATAGTGATAAGAAGATTTTTATTGTGTATGCACAGATATGAGAATTCAGTTGAGATTTAAATGCGTAAAATATTAGAAAAAAGTGAAAAACATAACTCAATAAATAGTTGAATATCAGTCATTTTTCAATAATACATAAAAATCTTTCAAAGATTCGGGTGTGTGGGTATTCTATTTATTCCAAACCCGGAACCACATCCACCCTCCCTTTTTTATGCATGTATTGCTGATGGTTTCCCTCTGTGAAGTGTCGAATATAGTTGATTTACGGATTGTAGGTAAATTCCAATGAAGTTTTTATTACATCGATGTTGAAAGAGTAGCAATAAAAGTAAAATAGTCTGAGTTTGTAAGAATTCTTTGCTTGTCAGAAATAAGAACAAACCGTCATATGTACGTCCGAGATAATGTTACATTACAGCAAGAAACTTAAAAAAAATGCATTCTCTCTTCGTGTTTTGCGACAACAAACAGTGCTTTCTTTAGTCAAAAAACTTGAAAAAAGCATCAGACTTTTATAGTTCTTGTTATAAAATTAGATCAGATGGATGTGTGTGTAGATGTATCATAATTCACACCGACATCCACACCCTCTTTCTACGTCTTTTGCACGTCATTTCACTCCTTTTTATTGTCAAACCGGGATGAATGAGATCTGGAATTTTAAGGCATACACATCTTCCACATTCATTCATTACTCTATGATCAAATGTGTTTTAATTATTTCTCTTCGGAAACATCTGCAAGCTGTTCTTCGTATGATACACACCCATAGCGATGCGTTTTCTATTGCCTCTATTCTTAATTTGTTCGTCGACTTTTTCTTCATCATCGGTAACTAATACAAAGAATAACACTTCCACATGTTTTCTCGAATGATGAAGCGTCTATGACTATAGTCGTTCTTTTTCTTCTCGTTTATTCTTCTTTATTATTACCATCATTCATGTGTTCATAGTTGTGCAAGGAAGTATATATGATGCAAAAACAAAGACGGTAGTCACAGACATACTTGCTCCATTACTCACTTTAGAAGCACATACAAGATAGTAATGAATTCTCTTCAAGTGATAATTAGATATGACACTTTAACTTTGAAGTTTAAAGTCACTTTTTTTCATTTTTTGTGTTTTATAGATTGCAGGAAGTCTCTCGAGCACCACTCAATCAGTCAGGACACTTATAGCTATAAAAAAAAGAAACTGTGCTTCAACTTTAACATTTAAACCAAAGTTAAAGTACCATATTTAATTTAGCATCCGTCAAAATTTGTCTCCTGTGCAAAAGCGACTTTATCATAACAAAACATTGAATTTGTGGATAAGTAGATAAGTAAATGATTTCAGTAAGGGCGTGAGTGTGAGATGTTATAACGAGCTCTCATTCGCATCTATACCCATTCAAAATTTGGAGTTCAAAGTTAGAAATTTTCAAATACCCGTGAGTCAATCGTTTGTTTACGATATTTTCTTTTGCGTTCTCCACTGCATTTCATGGGTGAGAATTCACCATGAAATACAGCGATGAACACAAGAGAAAAATATTCTGACTGCATCGTTGCCATGAACATCTCTAACTTTTAAAGAAAAAAAAGCGAAAAAGTTGAAGAGAAAATGTTTCTGGCAGTCAGTAAATTATGCTTTGTCATTAACTTAGTAGGATCAAAACCAGTTGCATAAAATGACTTTATACAATTACGATGCAAAACCACATGAGAATGAGTACATAAGCAGACAAGAAAACCGAGAGGGATTTATATCCTTGACAAGTATGATTTATTTTAGATATAATGAGCTCCAGCTTCACACGACCAGGATCAGCGTCTCATGTTGCTCGTTCTTCTTGGTCCAATCCTTCTTCAAGAATATCTTCGGCTAAACATTATTCTGGTAATACATGTCCTTACTGTCATCATCCGGTGACGATGAACGAAGGTTCTGGGGCTGCTTTCCAGGCTTCTTTACATAAATTATTTCCTGGTGCATATGGATTGGAAGAGTTTGTTTTTCTAACGAAACAAACTTTGGTTGCAGAAGGCTTCTATCCTCATGTGAATACTTTCGTTTGTCTTGGTTTATGTCGTGATGAAATCACAAATCCTTTTGAACTGGCAGTTGAAGCTATGTGGGGTCAAGCATTCATTTGTGGTTCTCTCGGTGGCATGTTATTTTGCGGCAAAACTGGTTTCTCTGCTGCACATCATCATGCTCCCGAAGCTGGTTATTTCGTTTATTACTGTTTTACGCATATTGCGATTGATCATGAAGGATCGGTTGGTTCTGTTTATAGATCACGCAGTGGTATGAAAGAAAAAACAACAGCATGTGGAGCTCTCGCTGCATTTACTGCCGAAATTGCTTCGAATAAACTGAATCTTAATTTTGATGAGGATGATATTGAAATGAGTATGTTAAAGAAACATATTATCACCCAGACTGGCCTTTCAACCGATGCCACAAATGCTCCCGATTTATTCAAAGTAACAATGGCTGCTTACAAAACGATTACGATGGATTTAGAAAGACATGTTCGATCCGATTCAGAAAAATTTAAAGATCGAAAGTATGCCTTATTTACTGGCGTTCAAATACATGGACCAAATGGAACAGACTATTGTTGGATTGGAAAAGCAAGTTTATTACGAAAAGGAATATTATTACCACTAGTTATTGCATCAGATATAGAGCCGTTGTCATCGACTGGACCAAGTAACCCAACGTCACACTGATGGAACGAATATATTCTTTGAAGGCGAATATGGATGAAAGTCTTCTCTTTATCAACACCCACCCTAATTTGACATCACTCTGTTACCCTGAAATATAACTGCTTAATCTTGCTTCATGTAAATAGTATTGCCGCTAAGTTTTCTTGAGGGTGAGTGCGTGTGAATATCTTTCTTTTATCTCACCCATACCCACACTCTATAAACTTGTATTATAAATTTATTCGTATTTAAGAAGCATATAAAAAATATTAAGATTCTAATCGTTGATCATGAAGCATTTCTAAATAAACACCATTAGTCCATCCAAAGCCGTCTTGTACTTCATATTCTCCGCCACCGGCTGGTTTACTAATATTCACAACGTCATATTTTTCCATCATTTTTCCTGTTTCATTAAAAACACGTTCATTTAAAGCCATCCATCGTTGACGGATAATTCGAGCAAGTGTCTCATATCCTGGAGTTTTAAGTAAACTGCGATATGCAACATACTGAAGTGGTGCCCATCCATTTGGATAATCCCATTGTTGAGTACTATGTTTTGCAATCGTTGTTACAAGACCACCATCATATAAAAATAATGATTCAATTTTACCAGCAACATGGTTAGCTTGATCTAGTGTTGCTACATTGAGCCATAATGGAAATAAACCAGCTAAAGTTAAACGATTTGTTAGTTCTTTTTTAATGAAATTATAATCTGTAAAGAACTGAAGATCATCTGACCACATGTATTTTTGTATTGCTTGACGACGACGTTCTGCTTTAGTTGTTTTACCTATAGCTAATTCTAAATGATATAGTAAACAGTTTAAGTCAACTGGGAGAATCTGCGTAGTTATTGTTGTTGATAAATCAGTTTCATCTTCCATCCATCGTGAACTAAAATCCCAACCACATTCACCAGTTGCTGTTAAATCAAAGTAAATATTTGTATTATTTGACTTGTGAGCTGTTTCTGTATCTTCAAGAAAAGCTTCTGGTCTTGGTTTATTACCTGTACCAACATAATAACGATTAAGAACTGTTCCATCATTCAATGTAACTGCTCTTGTCGTCATCCAAAATTCATATTCTATTTCTAATTCATTTTTATATTTCTCTGTCTGGCCTAATAGTTCTGCCATTAATGAAAAAAATGGTGGTTGACTTTGACTTGCATAATAAGACCGATTTCCGCCTGGAATATGTCCAATAGTTCGAGTTAAAAAAGCAAAATTCTCTAACATATGATTCGCTAATTCGATTTCTTTTGATCGAACTAAACCCAACATACTAAAATAAGTATCCCAATAATAAAACTCTCTAAAACGTCCACCAGGTACAATAAATGGATATGGAACTTCAATTAAAGATGAATAGTTTTCGTGTGTTATTCTTCGTGTTAACAATGGCCATAGACGATGACAATATTCCTCAATTGTACATCGTGTTTCATTGACAATACTTGTTGTATTTGGTATAATAAAATGATTGAAAACAAAGGAAGAAAGATCAAATGTTGATTTGATTTTTTCTTGTCGATATTTTTCAAGAATTTCATTTGGTGAAAGTTCACGCGGAATGACATCACAAAACGTTTTCGAATCAGAAAATATATGTGAAAGTTGAACATCTTCGAATAATTCTTCATAGATTTCATCAGGTGATTGTGCCATTACTAAAAAATACTGAAATGAAAATTTCGTCGTATCAAGATTTCGACAGAGAGATTTTTCTTACAGTAAAATTGAATTTTAGAAGGAAATCTGATAAAGTTTATTTTCCTTTTGGAGGTGTTCTAATAAAATTGAATCTGATAATACAATAGAAATAATAGAGTAAGCTGCTAAAAGAAAAAATATCAACATCGATCAACGTGCGCAAAAGTATAAAAGATAAGTGTAACACTGCAGTTTGAATGTGTGTCATGGCTGCTATTTCACGTGTTCTTACTAATTCTTTCAATCTTACGCATTGCCCTTACCTTTCTTCTATTTGATAGGCAACTATTTAAATGTATGTTTCGTATGAAGAAGAAATACAATAAAGTGTAACTTCACCAGTGCTAACACTTCTTCTATCAGAACTCGTCACAATAAGTATCACATGGCAAGATCATCAAGGTAGATAAGACAAAAAATTTAATAATGTCATACACAGAATATAAAGTAACAACAACATGCGCTGTCGAATACAGAGGAATGTCGAGGGATAGAATGACACAACATATTTTTGATAAATTTCATTAATTGCTTATCGTTTTTGTTTCTGTTAATTTTTACATTAAAATATTCCGAACTAAGCAGAAACTATTAAAAAGCAAATTTCCCTTTTTGATGGATTAAGTGTTGCATTTGTACATATCTTTGGGTGATGGTGTGTGTCTGCTCTTTTGATTCTATACACAGACACACCCACGTTCAAGATTTACAATTTATTCTGTTTGGTTTGTTATTTATTACTTTATTAAACAAGAAACAATAAATGTTTACCAGAAGAATTCAGTCGGATGTTCACTAATCAATGGTATTTCCTCATCCGATTCGCGATCGGTTCCGCCATTTCGATACAAAATCATGCCGATAAAAATTATCGGCAATGCACCAAGACTAAATCCAATATCCCAGGCAGTCATATCGCCGACTCCAGCCCATCGATTTATTGCAGGAAAGATGAACCAGAATGCTGTTGATAGCAATGGCGCAATTGAACTGACTATTATAACCCAATTTGCAGATATATGATCAGTAAGAAATGTACTGACAATACTCGTCAGCAAACAAGAGACAATATATAACACTCCAGTGCCGCCAGCAGCTTGACATTTATTACCAGGCACATGGCTGACATTAAAAAGACATTTGAAACCATTGGAAAATGAGATCCACCATTGTTGTATACTTGTCGATGTGCCAACATCGGGCACAATATCAAGCGGAAAACATAGAGCGATTAGTATGACCTGCATTGTTGTTTCAACAGCTTGAAAATAACTAACGGAATAACGAGTTATTTTCTCTTGTCGTGCTCGTGCATTTTCAGTAAATTTTACTTGTAATTGTTCTTGTATTATAGACTTGATAGCACTGGGTATACAACCAAGAATATATATAAATGGCCAATACCAACCGTGCTTTAATCCTGTGTCAGTAGTTCCATCATGCATTCGTTTAAAAGTTGGTACAAGACTAAATACAACGCCGATCAATACAAAACCAACACTGACAAGATGTAACCAATGATATTTTTTTTTCAAAAGACATTTTGAAAATATAAATGTAAATGGAATTGTTGTTTGACTGAGTATTGCTGTAAGTGCTGGTGGCACACGACTACCATGCGAACTGAATGTGGTCAAAAAAGCATTGGCTGCATCGAATATACTGACAACAAACATGTATTTTATCCAGCGCCATTCACGCATCGCTGGAGTAATTTGCCCTTTGTAACCGAACCAACATGCTATGATACAGGCGAAAAGACCATATGAAAATGCAGTAAAGAATGTAACAAAATAGACGCCGGTTAGATCAGGAAAACTACCCAAAAATAGTGCTACACCAATTGTTTGACCAGTATTTAAGATAATACACAATAGAGAAAGTACAATGGCTACAAGATGAAAATTGAAATGCCATCGATGACCAATAGTAAAACCGGGATGGCTGGTTAGCACTCTCCTTGAAAATATTGACGAACGTTTGCTGTTGATCATATTTGCAATGAAAAATTCTGCACTTTTTCTAAACGACCCTGTCTTTTTTTTTCGTTCTGCTAACAATATTCTTATCTTATGGTGAAAAGTTGATTTTATCTAGTAAGACAAAAGCAAAAAGAATATGCTCTAACGAAGTCAAACAAATAATATGTCAACTAATTGCTGGCTACAACATTCTAACGACAGATAAGAAAGCAAAACAAAAACTATCGTGTATACTTGCCGATGTGCTAAAACTTGGCGCAAAATCAGACAGAAAACGTATAGCGATTATTATAAATTAAAATGTCGATTCAACAACTTGAGAGTGGGTTTCTTGTTTACATTAACTACACCCACACCCTCACCCAATGACAATCTTATCAGAAATATTTATTGATTTAGTTTTAAAACAAAAAATAAAACGATTTCTTTCTATGAACAAATTTTCTTTACTAAAATTTACAAAACAAAAGATTATGTTGGATTAATAATTGCATAATTTCTTGTTTGGATCAGATACATTCCATTGTTATTTGGCATTATTCAAGATTCATAACTGATGCATATATTAGCTTTTATTGGTTTTTCTTTTACGACTACATTAGATTCAGTTTTTAGTTGTTAAACTTATTGAAATTATATTTTATAAATAAGTTTTTAAAGAATAAATAATGGTTGTATATCAAATATCAATGAGATTAATTTTATTGATAATAGATTAACCATGAAGAAGCTTATAGTTTGCTTTTTCATGATACAATACACAATTTTTCTATTTCATTCATTCATATGCTAATTTGTATTTTTTTAGAAATCAAATCTAGAAAAATCGATTATACGTGTTTTTTTTTATTATAGAATAGATGATTAGGACAAAAAGTGCAAGATTGAAATAGAAAAGAACAGAAAAAAATAGTAATAAAGAAATATATTTCATTGATAATTGAGAAAAAAAAGAACAGAAAAAAAGTCAGTATTGAAATATTATGATGTTGCTACCTATAAAAAATAAAATAAAATATTGATAGTTGGTGACATCTATATTAAACGCCCAAATAAACTATAACACATATTATGAAAAGAAAAAAACATGTTCTAGTCAATTAATATATTTTTTTCAATTTATTCTTTGAAATTTCTTATTGAGTATTAATTACTAATTTATTTTTCGCTAGAATCAATATTAAAGAAAGGAAGATAGATTGTAGTGACATCAAAAATGTGTGACATTTATGTTTTTTTCCTTATTTATTGATCTTCCATATGAGTTCAGAGTATTAATTATTCTATATTACTTAATTTTTAGTATTTTTTATTACCTCATATTGTCGTTGAAATAGACGTTTGAGTGGAGTAGCATGTCGCTAAATAGATTAAATGACATTTTTTTAGATACGTATTCTTCGTTTGTTTTACGTACTTTTTTAGAACCATTAAGACATGGAGAAAATTTTGGAAAAGCTGCACATAATGCGGCTTTAAAATTTTGACAGCTGACATCAGTTTTTGGACGTTTTGAACATTCTTCATAACGAACTTTTAATGCGCTTAATAGATTACGACATTTATCTTCAGCTTGATGACTAACACAATAATCACCACGTAATTTAAGTTCGTTTGGATCAGATGGAATCTATTAAAAATTGAGAAATAGGAGAAGAAGATTAGAATTGAAGCATATAGATTAAATTTACCTGATACCAATTTGGATCATTACCTGATGATGTTGGTCTCGTAGTTGTTACTATCTTTACAAATAGAAGAATTTTATTAAAAAATAAATTCTATAATCAATACATACTTGACTACCACCGCCACCAGATGAATAACAAAAAAGTTCTTTAGGCCATATAGTACAGAATTTACCTCTAACATCATCACAAGCTGATACCGGTGTTGCCATATCCCTACATTTACGAAGTAAATCTTCCATTTGTGATTTAATTCGAGTACATTCTTCAGCATTAGGTTCTTTGGCACATTTGTCACGCATAATACTTAAAGCATCTGATTGCTAAATAAGGAAATAATTATTACATTTAATTATGAGTTCATTAAATATCTATTTTAAAGTTTACTCGTAATTGAAATCTTCGACCATTGATTCCATTGACAGATAGGAGACATATAATGAATAGTATGACTGTCGTAAACATTTTTGTCGTCAATATCAACTGACACTTGTTCGCTTTCAAGTGTATAAATAAGGTACTGATTACACACTTATAGACAAACTATTTTTTTTTCTCTTTTACGGTTATTTTTCTTCTATTTCTTTTCGTTCAGGCAACAACATACGCGATGACTGTACACGTTATTTCAATAAGGTGGGCGTTCTGATGTTATCGATATAATTGTAAATCTTTTTTTTTCCTCTTTACTCTATTAATAATGACGTAAACTTGTACTTAAAAAAATTTACGATGTGAAGTGAAGAGAAAAAAAGAAAAAGAAAAGAAAAAAAAGGAAAAGTTTTTTTTATATTTAGATATGAGCTAAAATATATTCAATATTTTATTTCCATATAATATTTAATAAAAGAAATAAACATGTTTTGGGAATGTCATATCGTAGCATCATCTATTGATAAATTACTTGATCAATCATTAGATACAGTTAAATTACAAGATTTTCTTGATGAAAATGATTTAATCCAAGAATGTTTAACACAAAATAAACGTCTTATTGATTATCTTATTCAACCAAATATAATGACTGAATTAATTGATCATCTTATAAAATGTCCAACTGATGATAATTTTCGTAATGCACATGTTGTTAGCGAATTATTATCAGGTGATTTTCAACGTATACAAGAAACTTTACTTGAAAAAAATCATTTGGATTTATTATATACATTTTTAACTTCAAATGAACAATCAACATTGAATCCAATTCTTGCATCTTATTTTTCACGAATATTAATGACATTAATTATACGAAAACCGAATGAAATACTTGAATATTTAAAATCACGTGAAACTTTTCAAGAAGATTTTTTTCATCATCTTGATACAACATCGATTATTGATGTCTTATATCGTTTAATTGCTGATTTTGGTGAACAACGTCCAGAAGTTATTAAATGGTATGAAGATATTAATATAATTGATGGTCTTATTCAACAATTAATAACAACAGATTCATCATATGTTCAATCAAATATTATTAGTTTACTTAGTGAATTTTTACGTTTAGCTTTTGATTCTCATAATGGAATGGATAATGATAATCAAGGAAATACACATTTATCATCATCAAGTATGGAACATCTACTTTTTAGTGAAAATAGCAATGACGAAGGTTTGTATTTATGAGATTAAACTTATATAATATCACAGAAAACAAAACATTTCCATTTCCTATTTCTTCATAAAGTTCTTATTCATACAAATAATATATATTTTTTTATTTGATTATAGAATCATCAGTATCTAGTCCATTTTCACTCAATAATGAATACGTAAATAAATCATCGAATAATGAAACAAACGGAAAATTAACACCATTAATACTTGCTCAACATATTTTATCGAAATCAAATTTGGAAAAATTGTTTGATGCAATGAGTAAGAAACCAACGCTTATTACAAATGGATGTGATTTTCTTATGACTGTTTTTGATTTACTTGGTCGATTTATGCCTGTACCATTATGCATTTCATTAATAGCAAATGATGAATCTTCTCCATCGTCTAAAGATGAAAATGAACAAATGCAGGTATATTTTATCTATTTGATTATTTTTTTGAAAAATAAACAAAAAAATTCTATTTAAGATTAACGATGAAGGAGATACATTACCGGTGACAAAATCTAATGAAAATTTAACCAATAAAATGAATGAAAATGCTTTAAAAAATCTTCTTATATATGCCAAAGATCCTCTCGTTCGAATATATATAATATTACTCGAAATAATTCCTTCTTATTTACCATCTTTTATTTCATTATTATCTAAACCTTCTGCACCATTAATATCATCATCAACAACATCACCATCTCATGATAGTTCACAAACAGTCAAATATCAATTTATTAGTGAACCACTCGGTTCGTCCTTATTTTATATTCTATATATATGTGAAATATTTATTTATTTATTTTTAGGAACAATGCGTCTTAGTTTAATAAAATTTCTTTCCAAATTAATCCATATAATATCGAATGATTACACCGGTGATTATATCTATCAGATATTCAATTCCAATAATCTATTAAATATCTTAATCGATCTTTTTTATCATCATATTTATAATAATTTTCTACATACACAAGTATATCTGATTATTCGTCTTATTTTTCATATAAATGCATTAGCTGTTAAACAATCGAATGATATTTGGACACGTACACCACTTTCCAATAAAATACAATTATTTAAATCAGGTAAAATTTTTTTGAATTATTTTTCATGTTTCATGAAGTTTTTATTTTTTAGAGCTTCCTAATACTTCTTCATATCATTATACGAATCGTTCTTCATATAAATTATTTCAATCAATGTTAACATCATCCGAAGTTAATCTAATTGAACGTTTACTTGATCAATATGAATTAAATGTTGCATCGAGTAAATCAATATTAACAAGTTCATCATCGGATGATGCAATATCATCGTCTTTACTACATACACGTTTTGTATCACCTAATTCAGGTCATAATGCGCAGATACTTCGTTGTTTACGTGAATATGCACCTGTATTTAATAATTATTCATCATTTTTTAAAGTTAACGATCAACAACAAATTGATGAAAATACAAATATGCTTGAAATACGTTGGCAAACAGCACTTGATTATCTGAATGAAGATGAAAAGAAATGGTCTGCAATGCATCATGATGAACGTGATAGTGCAAATAATTTTCGTATGAATTCATCAGCAAATATTATAGCACATATTCGAAATACAATCAATATGAATGAAAGTAGTGAAGCAAATCAACGACGACAAACATTTCATATGAGATCATTTGGTAGTAGTGGAGCACCATACATTGATGACGATGATGATGATGAGGTAATTTTATTAAGTTAGATTTCGAGCCATTCATAGAATGGATTTAAAGTGCGTTCGATACATAAACTATCTTCGATTTTCAAGTAATTCGAATCTGTAATTATTTGTTTTGGGTCGAATTATTCTTTGATGATCTATTTTTGAAACTGATTTTGTAAAACTTTAGCATAGACATGTTAATATTTATCTTTTTAAATTTATTTAGGATGAGGTTGAACGTTTTGATATTGACGATGAAGTAATGAATAATGAACAAACATCGAGTGAACGAAAAGTAGCCAATATGAAAAAGGTAAAAATATACTAAATCAATATATCCTATGCATATACATTTTTATTTGTATTAAATTAGATTCCATTTGATGCACAATTTCCACCTGTATTTGATGAACAAGCACTTTGGCATCAACAAGATGATGAAGACACATCAAAATCTCATAATAATAATACTGAAGATAATGATACTACGAAAATGAATTCAACTTCGACATTACCTGATCTATTTGAAAATTATCGAATGCAACAAGAAAAATCTGGATCATCAACAGAATCAAATTTTGAACAGCTCTGTTCTTTGCGAGCTAATGATCATGGCAGTGATCCTGTTACTTTTCCCTTTCAGTCATCATCATCGACAGTTCGTGATGAAGTAGAAGAAGGACAAGATGAGTTTTAAATATAGATGCAACATATTTAGCTAATACAAAGTATACGCACACAATTTATACGCTGTTGTCTACCGTCCCTAATGGTTCAATTTTTGTTCTTTCTTTCATGTCAATCTATCTGACATTTTGCATTTTTTTTCTTATTGTGTCTTTACTTTGAGATATCATCAAATTGAAAATATCTTCAAATACAATTACGTATCTTATATATATATTTTTTCTTTTGTCAAAGATGTGTATAGTCTCTTGTAATAAGATGTACGTGTATATGTGTGTGTGTGTGTCTTTGTTCTATTTGTTCGTCATGATGTTTGTATACAAAAAATGATCATTGTTTTTTGGTTTTTAGACCAGTGTACTACGAATAAAAAAGGGAAAAAGCAAAAAAACAAATAAACTGCGTAGTAGATAAAATATATTAAAAGTAGCAAATAGGGGATATTGATATTGATAAAAATAACTAATATCGATTACGAGAAAATTGTACTTCTAAAAGAATCACTTATTCGTAATGTTAAGATAAAAATCTTATGAAACAGGAGATAAAGTTATAAGACCTTTGGATGGTGAATATGCATGAGAAATAATTTTGGACTAGATTTCAATCGACAATCTGCCATTGATATTTTCTAAACGACACCACTTGAGACATTATTTCATCAAAAAAAATCCTTCGAAATGGGATTTAAACTATGTCAAGTTCTTTTCTGATCGCAATCGATCTTTACCATTCAAAAAAAAATAGTAATTTATTTTTATCATGGCATCGCCAATACTTGTTTCGAATCGGTTAATTAAAACTTAGGCTTCTTGCAATGGCTGGATGATTTATTTTCAACTATCTATGATACAAAAAAGGTAATCTAAAATAATATTCATGATTAAACCTTTGTTACGCTCATAAATGTTTTAGAGTCACATCGCATTTGGTAGTTAATATGTTTTGTTATTGACAAATTATCCTGCATTATTGAAGATACTTTGTAAATAAGCTTCTGTTGGAACCGGAACACGTGCATCTATCCATGTTTTGTCGATATTGACTAATGAAGGATCTACAGTCCATTTTAATCCTGTAGCAGGCTGTTGTGAAGCTTGAGGAGTATAAGTAATAGTCGAACCAGATTGGTATGCCCAACGAGTAGAGCCAATTGACCCAAGAATAATCGAATTGATTGCAGTTGCGTTTGTTGCTGCACCATTCATTCCGTTCGGAGTAACATAACCGACAGAGTATCCATCTGCACCTGGAGGAACAGGATAACGTACACATGTAGCTTTACCACCAATAACCAGGGTACGAAGAAGATTATAACCATTGGCAGCACCAACTTGAAGTGCTGCATTAGTACTTCCGAATACAACTGTATTTTCAAAAAGAATATCAGAGTATGCACTGTTTCCAGAGAACTGAAGCGTATCAGTATGTGCCTTCGAACCAGCTTCACGAAAAGATGGTGAAAAATAACATCCAAGAAAGCGGACACCACTAACTGGAGCTTGTAATGCGGTACGGAATGATGCAGTATCTGCATTGTTATTGGCATCATATTTGAGAAAACCATCTGGAAGTACTATATTAATAAATTCAATATCCCATGAAGGTATACCATCGATTGTTTGACCGCCAAAAGTTGATAAAGGAGCCATATTAAACACAGAACTCTCTGTGCAATCTTGTGCAAGAAAACCTCGTTTGGTTCCGAACTGATTAACACCAGTGAATTTAAAGCCACCAAAAGCAACTCCATAACAAGATTGAATTTTAATACTATCACTGAACGTACATGAACCCCAATCACCTAATGTTGTGATGAGAATCTTACGTGTTTGCCCTTTCTTACCAATGTTTTTAATGAAAGGTGTTGATCGAGCACCTGAACCATCGCCAACAACATTACCAGGTTGTACAAATACTACAACACCTCGATTGACTTGTTCATCAGTAAAGCTATTTGCTGCGTCTTCAATTGCTTTTGCATTGAATGGAACGATTCTCTTATGAGCTGCATTAAATAAACGAGCTTCGGCAATTGTTGGTGTATTAGAAGGATAGTAATCAGCACTGGGACCATATATAACAGTGGAACTAAAAATCGTGGATATGAAACTCAAAAATGACCAAACAAGAAATATAGGTTTCATCATTTTTTTAATCTTTCTTCATAATAAATATTATCAATCATTGCTTTCTTTTATATAGGAAAAAAAAGTAATTGTTATTGTTCTTTCCAAATCACAATCAAATATTGGATTAGACATACTTTTAACGAGTACGATGAAATGTAATTTAAGTACATTTTTACGTATATTTTCGTTTCAGAAATATTTCTTTTCATTATCTTTCGTACCCGTGTTAGTAAGTTAGAAGTTTACTTATCTTTGGTTCTTATTTTTGACAAAAATAACTTTCACATTCTACATCCCCCGCAACTAATACCACGCATGTAATATTTAGCACCTGTATATTGAATTTATTGAAAATAATTTAATGTTTGTACCCATGCGGTCAAATACAGCGACTGCGTAGTAAAACATTTCGATTAATGAGTTTATACAGCTTGTATAGAATAAACAAATAATTGATATATCTTTGTATTCTTTTGAAATAAATGAATATATTTCACATGTTTTCTTTTTTTATTTTTTCAAAAAACAAACAAATAACAACAAAAGTTATTTTATTTTTTCACACTTTTCTTTTTTATTATTTTATCAGATGATTTGATATTTTCCTTTTTTGAAACTTGAGATTTCACTTCTTCATTTTTCTTCTTTGATGATAATGATTTCTTGTCTTCATCACCTTTTTTTAGTGCTTCTAATGGAATAAAATCTGTTAATTCATATTTAATTCCAATAGAATTTAATTTGTCTTGTTGTTTTAATAATTTTTTAGCACGTCGTTGATTACTTTTTGTTATTTGTTCTTCGGATTTAACTCGATTATATAATGCACGTTTTTGTTTTGGTGTTTTAACACTGAATATTTTTTTCCAATTTTGAAATAATTTATCAGTATCGATTTTACTTCTATCCATAACACGTGATTTAATTAATGAACGAAACATTAAATAACCATTCATAGATTCCGATGCAATACGTGCAACATCTTCATCTTCAAATTCAACATAAGCATAACCACGACTACCACCTGTTTTTTTT